ATGAGTTTAGTTCCTATGTTTTCTTCTATGCAATTTATTGTTTCAGGTCTTATAAATATAGGGAGTAGGGGGAAGGTGAAATGGGTAAAGGGGACCAAATATATGGTAGCCAAAGGAAACTGGACTTTGGGTGGTAAATACACAATAGAATATGCAGATATCAAACTATAATGTACACTTGAAAATTATATAATTGTATTAACCAATGTTACCCCAATAAACTTAATTTTAAAAAATGAACAGAGCTCGGGGACTCATAGGACACTATCATTTCATTGGAAGACAAGAATGAGAGAGACTAATGCAGAAAAGAAGTCGAAGAAATAGTGGCTGAAACTTCCTCAAATTTCTTAAAAACCTACATCTTTCAGATTCAGAAGCTTAGAAAATCCCTAACAGAAAACTCAAAGAAAACTGTGCTTTGACACATCATAATCAAACTTCTGAAAAACAAAGTTTAAGAACAAATCTTGAATGCATCCAGAGAAAAAATGATATCAATCATTGAATGGCTTGGTCTATAGCACATATCACATACTTAAAAGCCTACAAGGGCTAGGCATGTTGCATAAATGGTTGAGCTGATCAAAAGGGTAGAGCAATGAGGATATGGAGAATGTGTATGCTGTTTAAAGCATGCCATGATGTATAAAATATAGAAGGCCCGAAGGCAGAATTCACATTATAGGACACCAGTTTGTATTCCATAACTTCAGACACACAGTAGGATTAAGGGTCAGGGATGCCCAGTCTAGGTTCTGACATAAGCATGAAAAATACCCATCCATACACTCAATTTTTAAAATAAATCTTAAGGGCTGAGGTAAGACAGTTTTCATGGCATAAATCAAGGCCCTGTACCAGGTTCCTGGAAACTCAGATACCCTCAGGCCCACCTATGGGCAAGACAAGAAGACAGGGCAAGAATCAAATTCACGACTAAGATCCTGAATGATTTTCTCCATGTTCAAAGAGAATCCACAGACGTGGATGTATAGATAGATTGCTACATTCATCCATTCAATCAATCTATAAATATAAATTGCTGACTAGATGCTCAGCTTCAAGCTGACAAATACATAAAAGACTAAATAACCAGATGGTAGAAAATACCATGACCATTTCTTTCTATAAAAGAAATGGTCATGGTATTAGGATAGAGAAATGAGGTATGTATTCAGAAGTGCCACTTTATATAAGGTGGTCTGGGAAAGCCTTTCAGAGGAGGTGATGATTGAGCTGAGATTCAAAAGGCAATAAGGTGCCAGGAGTAGCTAGTCTTCAGGAAAGGCTAGTATAAAGGCCAGACAGAGGTCAGGACACTGCAAGAACAACCAAATGTCTGATGCGGCCAAAGTTTACCAAGTGATAGACAGAGTGAGGGGACAGGCTGAGGCTGGGTGATTAATAAGGACCAGACCATAAAGAGGTAAAGTATTGTAGGTCCCAGAGAGCAGGTTACTTCCTACCTGTAGAGCTGATGTTGGGGGACAGAGACATAGAAGATTCTGGAGAGAATGTAGAAGTCACTGGAGCTGAGAAAAAAATAAAAACATTGGAAAAATAATTGAATCCCATCTTGAAGGAACATGGTGCAGAAACCGTCCATTGGAATTTGGGCTTCTGTCTTGACTCAGAGTAAGACATTGGGAGGATTGGAAGTTGCAGTGAGGCTGAAGCTGGACATTTTGGAGGGGACATTAACAGCTTCTCTCCTGAAGAATGCACTCTGGGGAATAAGGGTCCACTGGGCATTGAAGTTTCAGTTTTGAATACTCACTGCTGGTGGTGGGGGTCCAGTACTGATGGTTATAACCTGCAAGTAGGGAGAAAATAGTAAAGAAGTACTGTTAGGATGGGTAAGATTTAAGGATCGGAA